GCCCCTCCCATACCCCCCCTTCCCCATCTGCCTCTCTCCCTCTACTTCCACTTATTTCTGCTGTGTTTTATCATCACGCTCCTCTACTCTTCCTTCCTTCCACTCCACCCAATCTGTAACTTTCCACTAAGTTTCCTCCAGTAACAATTCTGACCTCCACCAGTCCCTCACACTAAGCACCATGCCTTCCTCCTGGTCTGGCTCACCATCAGTCTGCCTCTCCATCACACACACACACACCATCGTGGCCCTCTCTCTCAGCGCCGCTCCTTACCGTCCCATAATGCTCAGTTACCTTATCAATAGTGATTGATCCAGCCCCAGTGCTGAAGGTCCTGCTCTCTGTCCCTGTGCAGCGAGCGCTCGGTTCTCTCCATCCACCCTTCCTCTGTCAATCTGGCCACAAACCCCTCTTTCCTCCCTTTATCCCGAGGTAAGATACTTACTTTTCAGATAAAGCATATTATGATAAATCGGCTGAACTCTGTGCGTGTGTGTGTATGTGTGAGTGTGTAACTGTCACACACACACATATAAGCACACAGTGTGCACACAGACATACAAAAATACAGTGTGTGTATCGAACAACATGATGTCAGAGGTGCTTAACAGCTGGAAAAGTGTTTGTGTGTTTATATAATACGTGTGCGTGTGTGTGTGTGTGTGTGTTAGTTTTGGTCTTTTGGGACGTGATGGTTTTTGGTTTATGTCATGTCAATCATTCAATAATGAAGACACGAACATAAATGATTAGAATTCTTTTCTCTTTTTACGTTTTCATCATCTGCAGCACACATAAGCTGCGGATTGCAATCAAATGCACACAACAAAGGCTGGTTTATCAGGGAGGATGCTGGGAAAATTTTGTTTCATTACTGTCATTTTTTTTCTATCAAACAAAAGAGAAAGAACAATCCAGGCCTTTAGTTTCTGTTAATAAAAAGGGCCCAGGAAGCTTCATCGCAGTGATGATTGTGTTATATGTCTGAGTGAAACTTCATTTCAATTTCAATTTGAACGTCTTCTTTTATTTTTGATCTTTTGAAGTGGTTGTACAATTGATTGAACAGTAATGACACAGTCAGTATCACACACATATGCATCCATCCACTGACCGAGGAAGACTGTGTGAGCATTTTTCCTTTTTTTACTATAACTGTCTTGACAAATGAGTTTGCTCTCTGCCTCTTAGTTCATCGAAGGACGCGTGGATTCACGTTTGCTAATGAAATGGGTTGAGAGAAATAGTGGAGCATATGGGCAAATGTTCTCCAACAAAGTGGGATGGAAGTTAAGGTCAACAAGGGGAATAAAAGAGTTTGGAGAAAATGAAAACTAAATGAAAATACAATGGCTGTGTTTGCCTCTGGGACGTGTATGCGTGCTTGTTTCAAAATGGGATGTTTATGAAATGCTGCGTCTGTGTGTGTGTGTGTGTGTGTGTGTGTGTGTGTGTGTAGGAGTATAGATTAGATGTACTAAGCCTCTTATGTGCTGGTTGTCCTTAATTTGCGTCTGCTCTGGGTCCTAGTGCGTCTAACCTACCAGCAGTCCTTCATCACAGAGCAATTTCCACAGAAACGAGCCAGAGCATCACATGTCATGCAACAATGAAATGTATAGTTTTGTTCTTAAAGAGCATTAATATATAGTACTTATCATAGGCCGTGCCTATATATGAATACATACAAATATGTGCATGTGAAAAAAATAGAGGATTAAACTTTTAAAAACGAAATTACTTGGAGGGGAAAGGATGACTGAGATGAGTAAAACTGAACAAATTAGAAAAACAATGTTATTAAGCCATTTTGCAAATGGCTGCTTTATTGGAAGCCACGAATGCAGAGTTGTGTGTTGATATTAATTAGTTGAACAAATCACTGTGTTTCTATAACATCTCTATAGGAACTTTCTTACACTATAGCAACAGTGGCTGCTCAGTGCTTATTGGTAGTGTGTAACAACAGTACTTCTATAGGAATTTAGAGTGTAATTTAAATGTATAATTAATCACTTACATTGTGAGAGATTGTACAGTTACTCAAGAACAACAATTATACCCTGTTTGTTTTTGATATTTTACAATGTAATAATTTAGAGCCATAAAAAGAGCCAGAGATAAATGTATCATGTTTTATTGGCCACGGTTACAGGCCTATTACCCAAATTTAATGGTGGATTTTTCTGTTCCCAGAATATAATACTGGATTGATCATGGATTAGGATAATAATTTATACAGTATCTTGTATTATTGTTAATGTATTATTTAAAAGAAAACGTAACGACGCTTAAAAACAGATAAGTAAAAATACATTTATTATGGCCCAAAACTATGAACATATAAAGTCAAATATTTGTTGAAATATAAAGAATAAATGTGTTACAATAAATACAATATGAAACAACAGAGGAGTCTGAGGGAAGCAGGTGCGTGAAGTGTGCGCGTGCACAGCAGGGTAGCGCGCAGTGTCGCGCGCTCTGAGGCATATCTGAGGTCTCTCGCTATTCCCGCCGTTTGTTTTTTGTTTTTTTTCTCTTTCTGTCAGTCGGAGGTCTCGAGACATGCTTGTCGTCGGACTCCCCACAGTTAGCTCGAGCGGGCCTACACGACCCGCTGGTGGCTAGTTTAGTTCAAGCTGCGCGAGCTCCAACAACAAAACAGCAGTAAACAAACAAACAAACAAACAAGGCGTACCTGGATGTGTGCAGGTGAGGCGTCCACTGGAGACAGGAGGTATCCAAACGCCAACAACACACACACACACACACACACACACACACAGGCCTCCCCTGAAACAGCTTCACACACTCTCTCCTCAGCAGGTGAAGACATTTTATTTAGAAACGTTCAAACACGCCGGTAAAGTCTCTCTGTCGCTCTGTGTGTGTCTTTATATCTCCGCTTTGGCTTTACAGAGCTAGATAAACCCCTTATACAGTTTGGGCTGTAGCTACATGGGTCTGTGTGTGTGTGCGTGTGTGTGTGTGTGTGTGTGTGTGGATTTTAAACTATAAGAAATCCGATTCAATTAACAAGCGCAGAGAATCGGCTTTGGACACTGTGAAATTGTCTCGCAGCAGAGGATGGCACAGGCCAAACAGGAGGGAAGAGACACGAACACACACCGGGTCTGACCAGGGAAAGACTAGGCCTCACCTACAATATCTTTTTCTATTTTTTTTAATTAATAAGACTGTAAAACAAAATTACATTTAATTACAACCATCCTCAAATCGGACGTTTGGACCAAGATTGAATGCGGAAATACGTGTGAGAGCTGAAAGGCTAAAAAAAACCCTTCTAAAACAAACAAACAAACAAACCAAACAAATAAAACCAAACACCTCTCCTCTGATGTTTAATTATTAACAGTTCAGTTATTTTACATTTTATTTTAGTGGACCAATGGCCTACCTGTTGTCATTACTTTATTATTATTATTAGTTTTATATCAAATATATGATGCACATTATACATTTATAATAGTCTACAAATAAATGATGTAGCCTAATTCAAACTCTAATGATATAGGACAACAACAACATATTATTATTATTTTTATTATTATGATTATTATTATTATTATTATTATTGTTGTTGTTGTTAGTGACTGTAGTGAATGAATGGATGAATGGGCCGGAGGGAGCATGTTGGGGATCAGAAGGGGATTTAATAGCAGAACAACGCGGTCTTTGTGCTGCCTTTAATCCGGCCTGTACCCCCTTCTCTGCCTCCCAGTGGCTCTACCTCTGCCTCCACACTCAGGAAGAGTCGCCCAATTATTTTAGGAGGCCAATTTTCGAAAATGGTTCCTAACAATAAAACCTGGAGAAGACTAAGATGGTTACTGGGGTTCTCTCAGAGCAGAGGACGACCTATAGCATCCATCTTTCATCTGTAGGAAGTCAACTCCCCAAGTGCACCTTTATGGACGGACTTTAGTTCCGTCTTCATTTCTTTCTTTTTAATTATTGTGTTTTTCGAATTCATTTGTACTAGTTATATGTAGGCTACGTGTCAACAGGTGTCAGCCACAACAACATGTTGCATCATAGCGTAAACAAATATAAACATAAGAAACACATTAAATAAAGCCTGGAACTCTATAAGAGGCATATTCTTCTTATCCTCCTATACATTTCATATTACAGGCCCAAGAGGGATACATAATGACGGTGTGTGCGCGTGTGTGTGTGCGCGCGCGCGTTGGCTTGAGCGAAGAGAGAGAGAGAGAGGGAGAGAGAGAAAGAGAGAGAGGGAGGGCTCTGGGTGTCTACTTGGGTAAGAAGTTACTTCTAATTAGCCAGCCTCTTCTTGCTCGCCTCACTTGTCCACTCTGCAGATCCAGATCCTCTCCTCAGGGACCAGGGACCGTCAGAGGCCCCATCAGACCGCAGACAGCCGAACTGTTGTGGAGCTGCTGCTTTTGCCACCTTTTCACCCGGCGACGTCGGTGCGCACCGCAATTACGCACGACTTGGATGGAGAACCTGCATCATAGCACGGCTCTTATTTAGTCAGCCTTTATCGTTTTTAAAAAAAAATACTGTCTTGGGTTGATTTGAGTTGTTGTTGTTGTCCTCATTGTCTGCAAAGAGAACACATAGAATATACACCTCGTCGCTAAATCAGCGGGGTTTTTACGCGTCAGGTTAACGCAGGTGTTTAGGCGCACGTCGGTCCTTGGACAGTTGGACCCACAGGTGCCCGGTTCCACGGCACTGAGTCAGAGCAGCATACAGAGGTAGGAAAGGAGAAGGCCAGCAAGGAAATATCAAAAACAACAAACAAAGTGACAAACAACCCAGGCTAAAAGAAAAACAGAGAGGGAGGGAGTGACAGAAAAAAAAAAAAACTAGAGAGAGAGAGAGAGAGAGAGAGAGAGAGAGAGAGAGAGACACCCCCTGGAGACTAGCTAGGAGACCCGGCCCCCGGTCTGAGAGAAGGAGAGAGAGAGTGAGGGAGTGAGGGAGTGTTTTAAAGCCGGCAGGAGGCATGATGTCCTACATTAAGCAACCCCATTACGCCGTGAACGGGTTAACGCTGTCCGGCCCGGGCATGGATCTGCTCCACTCCGCCGCCGTTGGATACCCCAGTAAGTAATGACCTGTTACCTTAGGACTCTATGCTTTTTACCATAATATCAACCTGTCTTTTCATTGTTGTTTTGTTTGAAAAAAGTTTATTTTTAAATGCAGAAACCGAAAGAATTCACAAAATCCTCTTCTATCTTTCTAATAATCAGTAACAAAAAAAAAAGTCAAATTCACTTGAATGTCATTTTTTAAATGCAGCTAAGGTTGTGCTTTATGATTCTAAATATATGTCTCTGATTCTTCAGCCATCAGAACATGTGTTCACTTGACCTATAAGTTCTGCGGATTATAGAGTCAAAAAACAATAAAAAGTGTGTGTGAATGGAAACGCAGCCTGTTCTCACACAGACTTAACACCAAACAGACTCCAAGCTGTTGATCTGATCATGTAACCTATTTACAAAATGATGCTCATTGTATTTTATTTTGGGCCGTAATGTTTTTCATGAATGGACACTTCTTATATTGTTCGGATGGCCTGATCAGCATCTGTCATCCTTCAGAGGAGAGTTTGAATGAAATGATGCCGAGGTTTGGCACTGGTGACAGAAGGCGTGTTACAAAGCTTGGCCTTCGGGAGGCAGATTAGAGTTTGAATCAACGAGTTAAGACCATTTTTAAAATTCACAATCAGTGCTTCGGAATGATTTTCGTTTATTCACCTTGAAGATTTCGATTCAAAATGTCTCATTTATGAAAGATAAAACCATACGACCTTTTTATTCGATCCGATAAAAGACAGCCCATTTCCTCTGGCCCGGTGAAAATGATCGACTACAATTGATTAAATGTATTAACTTCAAACAAATAATACCTAACAAATATATATCGACATTCAGCTGATCAAATCGACACCCAGCTTTATTGTTTGCGAATTCAACAGAAATAACTCATTTTCATGATTCATATGCAATCACTGATCACATGAATGACCTTACTTTAATAATGCGTTATGGGATTTTAATAGCCTAATATAGATTGATATTTCCAGCCTATCTGTCTGTTGAATTGTGTGTTAAATGTTTGAACACAGATCTCATGGCAGCTACAGCGCTATCTTTTAAATGCCAACATAATAAAAACACCGCATGTCTAATACTACTACTACTACTAATAATACTAATAATAAAAATAATAATAATCAGGTGATTATTTTTTTGCAGGCACCCCGCGTAAACAGCGCCGGGAGCGCACCACCTTCACACGCGCACAGCTGGACATCCTCGAGGCTCTGTTTGCCAAAACCCGCTACCCAGACATCTTCATGAGGGAGGAGGTGGCCCTCAAGATCAACCTGCCCGAGTCCCGAGTCCAGGTGACACATTACAAACCAACAGCCCATACAGAGTGGGCTTTTAGCATTAGGTTGCATGTATAGTATTTTGATGCAAACAAATATTAACTGGCATGTTGAAAGAAGAAAACTGTGTGTGTGTGTGTGTGTGTGTGAGAGAGAGAGAGAGAGAGATAACAGGTTTACACACAATAGAAGCTTTTACACTTTGAATGTTTTAATTGCATTGTATTTACTGTTTCTTATTCTTATTAGTATTATTATTATTTGTATTATTCTTATTATTATTATTATTATTATTAGCATTCTAATTATTAATGAAGTAGTGATTTTAGAATGACGCTCCTCTCTGATGCACCTCTGCCATCCTCCAGGTCTGGTTCAAGAACCGTCGTGCCAAGTGCCGCCAGCAGCAGCAGCAGAGCACGGGCCAGTCCAAACCCCGGCCCCCTAAAAAGAAGGCATCCCCTGCTCGTGATGCCAACACTGAAGCCAGTGCCAACCCCAGCAATGGACCCTACAGCCCTCCACCTCCTCCTCCAGGCACCGCCATCACCCCCAGCTCCAGCTCTGCTAGCGCCACGGTGTCCATCTGGAGCCCAGCTTCCATCTCCCCGCTGCCAGACCCCCTGTCTGCCTCCACCACCCCCTGCATGCAGCGCACCACCTCCTACCCCATGACCTACACCCAGGCCCCGGCCTACAGCCAGAGCTACGCAGGCTCCTCCTCCTACTTCACTGGCCTGGACTGTAGCTCCTACCTGTCCCCCATGCACCCACAGCTGTCGGGCACCGGAGGCGCCCTGAGCCCCATCACAGCCTCCTCGATGGGTGGGCCCCTCAGCCAGTCCCCAGCCTCGCTCTCCTCCCAGGGCTACACGGCCGCCTCGCTGGGCTTTGGAGCCGTCGACTGTCTAGACTACAAGGACCAAGCTGCCTGGAAGCTCAATTTCAATGCCACTGACTGTCTGGACTACAAAGACCAGAACTCCTGGAAGTTCCAGGTCTTGTAAAGTGGGAGGTGGGGAGGGAAGGGGATAGGGGAAGAAGTGAGAAATTGAAGTAGGGTGAATAACCCAATATTACTGTTGGTGTGTTTTAGAGGAAGGAAGAGACCTTGGGACACATAAATCAATTAATCATATCAGTTGAAGAACGAATCAGCTGAAATAATGTCTTCAGTTTTTCTTTTCAAAACAATATGTGTGGAAGTAAACTGACCTGTTGACGCTTGGCTCGGTGATTGTAACAAGGAGATAACAGTAGTGTTTCTAAGTTAAGCAACATAGAAATCAGCCTTGAAATCAAGAAATGGCTGCGTAAAAGCAATATGTGTACAATAAAATCAAATTAGTGAGAAAGAACAACAGCTGGATTAGAGACTATTGTTGTAATTTAAATACAGTCTGACTATATTACTGATGACAAGAGAATTTAAAGTGAACGTGCATAAACGAAGGAGGCTACTTGTCCCATGCTGAAAGCATCCTTTTGATTTATGACTCAGTAGTTTTGGTTTATAGAAATCTAATTTGTTTGATAGAGCTGATTTCAGAAACTGTCTGACTGGCCTTGACTTAGACCACATTTGAAGCAGAGCTTTTTTTTTTGTTTAACTGCCACAGCACAACAGTTCAGTGACATACAATTTTGCCGCATAGACAGCCTTGAAATCGACGCGATAAAGCACTGACGAGAGCCCAAGCTCATGTTTATTTCTTCCTTCTAGACTTTGTCTTGTATTTTCTGTGATGTTATTTCTTTTATGAAGCTGCTTTTCATCAGCGAGCTGACTCAAAAAGCTTTGAGCCAAACAACTCAACTAACCCAAACCGACACCTTCAGGAGGCGTCGCTACAGGGTGGCCACTCATTTAATACAGTGTGAAAAATACTTAGCAGAAAGAAGCTGATGATTCCCAGTAGCCTTGTATGATACTGACCCTCTGCAGCCTGTGTGTGATACAAGCGGAGGGGGTAGAGTTGGTCACTGAAGTGACTGCAGTACAAACTTGTTGCCTTTGAGCATGGTTGACAATCATTAGCAGAATGGCTCGTACATTGTTAGTTTAATAGGATCACTTCCAGACTATTTGGGCAACAATGGTCTCGTTGTGGCTATTGGCAGCCGAGTACTTTCCCCCCACTCCATCTCACAGTGTTTGCATGAGGGTAGCAGATTGTTGAAGCAGTTCTTGAATTACTTTATTTGAAACTTTTTAGCTGATAAACTGCTCCAGTGAGGTATTTGATGGGAGAGAAGACTGCGCCAGAGAAAGGGAAGGGACTGGTCCGCCATGCAGCCCCCCCTTTGCACAGAGAGTTTGGTGCCTCTCTCAACTCCAACCTGTAAAGATGTGATGGGTACCACTTTATGTGTTTGATGTATCATTTGATTTTTTTTTCTTTTTGTATTAGAATTAAACAATATTATGTTTCTTTAAAAAAAAATTGTGAATTCGTTGAAGTAAAAATTGTGGTAATTTGTTTTGAAGTTGATATTATTATCAGTATTATTGCTATCATTAATATTATGTCTCCAGCTGACATGGACATTGTTCTTTTGTAAATATTAAAACTTGAAAATGCAATCATGTCTGGTAGCAGCGACGAGTTGTTACGCAGGCGCTCCACCCAACAGAATCTTTCTCTTTCTTACTTTCTAGAAAACTGCCAACTTTGTATTTTTTCTGTTTATATTTTTCTGGTTTCTGCTTCTTCTTTTTTTTCAAACTCAGGGGTTTATCCAGTAAAAGTAGCAGTAATAGGATACAATGCTGTTTATGCTTCTTAATCATTTACTGTACTTTTATCTTTTGCATTACTATAATCTTCTCTGCTTATTTTTCTGACATTATTTTGTATATTTCATTTGTCTCCTGTGTTCCACCAGTCTCACCACTACCATGCTAGATAGCTATGATGTTTCTGAGACATTAAACGACTTCATTAAAATTCATTGTGTTCTGTAAGTGATTGGATTTGAGTGTTTACTTGCTGAATGATGTCAGTGTTGAGTCAAGGTAATGCTACACCTGTGACATGTGTTATTCTTCCATACCTCTGCAGTAGGAGAAAAAGGGAGTGTCGGACATCCAGAGAGGGGAGATTGGGAATCAGTTTCTGGGAGCGTTCCACTAATCCATACAAGAGGTTGAGTGGGTATAAGGCAGAGATGAGAGGGAACAGGGCAGAGAGGACAGAAAACAGATTAGATCTAACAATAATACTGAGTCCCACCGCTCCCGCCAGCCCCAAACTGAAGTACGAGATGGGCAGATTATTTTGGATTGCTGAATGTTTCTGTGTGTTGCATCAACCGATGGACCAGGGGGTCAGTGCCACGGGCACTGGATGAAAGGTTTTAGCTCATGGTGAGATGCTTGATATCTTGAAACAAGGCTGTGGGTCTTGAATCACAATAAACAATACACCTATGAGAGAAAATGTGTTTTACTCATGATGAATGGTCCAACCCTACATGTGATAGTGCCAACTGGTGCTGTTGTTTGTAGCCACGCTAGTGCCATGGCTCTAGGGACGGCGACGGCGGTCTGTTGGTCCACCATTTTAGTCCAGACTGAAATATCTCCTATTGGTGGATTGTCCATCGACATTAATGTTTCTCATAGGAGTCCTGGTGAGTGTGGTGAGATATTTTATCTGATTTACTTTTATCAGATTTGAATTTTATATTAGGTGTTAATCATTCAATTCAGTAATATATATTTATATATAGTATAGGTATAAAATAGCAGATAACAAATAACTTTGGTTATCTCTAAACTTTTTAGTACCTTTAGCACCATCATTAGCTCATAGTTTAATTTGTCATTATGTTTATGACTAAATACTGGCAAAATGAATGACATTCCCATCAGCCTCAGCTGATATGTGTATTGCTAATTAGCAAATGTTAGCATGCTAACATGCTAAACTAAGATGGGAATATGGTAAAAAACATTATAACCAGCTCAGCATCAGTATTTTACAGTAGAACTGATGCAGTAGCATAACTATCGATCCCGTTAGCATTCAGCTCAAAGCACCAGTCTACCTAAATGCATCCTGAAAGAGCTGCTGCTAAACTCTTTGTTTGGATTGCTGATGCTATTTTGATCATCAGGACAAACTACACAAAAGTTTTATTGTATTAAAACCTTTTGTTTTAAACAGTTTTTACCATAACGTGAGTAAAAATATTGTGCACATTCGAGCTGATGTTGCACCTGCAAGTCTAATGGTCTGTCCAGGACAGGTCCTTCACTTTGTAAACTCTTCTTTTACAGAAATTCTTGATGGGACTAACAGTTAAAGAATCAGACAGATATTTAATACTAATCACTGTCACGTTACGCAACAATTATTTGTCTGGTTGTTGGACTTTTCTTCTCAGACTTGCCCAGTAACAGTGAGTCTCTACCTTCTGACTGGGATTTAGCCTGAGAACACAGAGCTGGGTTCAGCCTCATGGTGACACAGCATAACACAGGCCCTGCAGCCCAAAAGCTCATTACAAAGTGCAGTAGACTAAGGTCACCAACGGGCTTGGGCTTTAACGAATATTCATTTAACAAGTTACGTAGAAACTGCTACATTGTTGCTCTGGCAACTGAATTATGTGAATATACTTAAAAAGTTAGATAGATAGATAGATAGATACGATACGACTAGATAAAGATAGAAGTAGATCAAGCGATAGATAGATAGATAATGATAGACTAGAACTCGATAGACCTACGATTTAGATAGATAGTGATAGATAGATAGATATAGTGCTCTGCAGGCAGTGTGTTCCTATAATCCCCCAGCAGCAGCATATGGACTTTGGAGCAGAGACACAGACAGAGATACACTCAGGACTTAGAAATATGATTCATTTCTTTCCTCTCTCTAATCCCCAACAAACAAGCTGGTGGCCAGCCTGCTCTGGAGGCACACTGTAATCATGCCTCAGGCTGCTGCCAGAGCTGACCAGCCTCCCCGTCATCCCTCCCTCCCTGCCCTTCATCTTCTTCCTTCCTTCCCTTCTTTCCCCCTAATGCCTGCTGCCAGTCCATTTTCCTCTTAATCGTTCCTAATCCAGCGCCCCGGCGAAACATAGATGCACCACCACACACGACCACACACACCACACACACACACACACATAAATGAAGACTATCAATCACATATATTTGAATAGACTCACATGCAAACAGACAACAACTGACAAGCAACAGAGACAGACACACAGTCAAAGACAATGGCACATACACACACAGTTCACACATTCATAAACAATATTCTTTTTCTTTTTTAAATAAATAAAATAAAATGAAAAGGAAATCCATCATGATCATTTCAGAGTAGTGTGAGGAACATTTTGTCCTGCTGTGTGGGAACAAAACAAAGTCATACCAGGTTAAAGCAGCGGCTGAAAACACTACTTGTAGCCTGGTTTTGTTCACTGTTACGATTAGAACTTAATACAGTGTCATAAGGTCCTTTCTCAAGCTGTGACTGTGCACATGTGAGTGACACAAAAATGAGTTGATGTAACTGAAGTCTTTTATAATTTCATATTGGATGTGTAAGGGCATACCGTTCTGTCTGTTGTCACTAATCACAACACAGCCCAGTGCTGCCTCCAGGGTCCTGTTTCTCATATGTGGGGGTCATCAAATAAATATGGCAACATAAAGATCAGAGGAATGTTAATGGTCAATTTTATGTACTTTAACATCAAGAAGTGTATTCCCTTATAGGAGAACTCCACACATTGCAGTGTCTTGGGGAGCACTACTGCATATGTGAAAAAGGTTGTGGTTGCAGGTGAACTAATTATAAGTGTCTTCAAATGATGTCACTTGAGTCTGACTTATTTGGGGCTGGGGACTACAAGTTGGAACATGACAAAAAACTGGAGGTTTGGAGTCAGGAAGATGAGGTTGCAAGACCTCTGTAGCCCACTCCCCATTTCTGTTACCAGCTCAAGGCTACATTAGCTGCTACTAGCACGACACACAAGAATC